ATTTTCTAGACTTATGTGCTTTCTATCTATCTAACAGTCATACACATTCATACTCCAGTGAGTGCATTGCGAGTTCAGTTGGCAGACTGGAGCAACGAGAGATCGAACCACCAAGTTCCTGATGAGCTACTCTAACTCGTGAGGTAGCGCCCCCACCTCACCCAGCCACACATATCTGTGGCAAGTATAGTTTTGATTTTGAACTGGAACAGTGGACATGAGTTGGACAAAAGTAAAAGATAAGTCAAGAATCTTTCTTTATTTTTCATAAGCCAAACATCACATGGTACAGTATAGAAAACCCACAATTTGCAGCATTCTGTGGCCAGATCAGCATGGATTCCTCAGGCATGTTGATAATAGAATTTTCTGCTCATGTAAACTGGTTTAGTAATAGTATGTCAAAAAATAAGCCCTTGCCACTGAGCTCCATTTTGCGAGAAGCTCTAAGGAGGCTTATTGCCTAGTTATTCGGGAGCAGTCTGGTGCCCCCGTATCACTGTACCATTATAGCTGCTGCTGCTCGTAACACTCCCCCACCAAGACTTCACAGCTCTCCCTTCTGTCAGCTGTGACGGAGCAGGTCATTTGCTGACTGGTTGGGATCCTTGTGGAGTTGACTCTATTAGCTACAGCAATGAGAGTTTTGGACTAGGATGTGTCTCGAATAGATGCGGCGGTTGATGAACGTTTATGTTGGATCTCGGAGAGGCATCTTGACTAGCTGAGAACACCGTGGCATGTGTTCAACAATCCCTGCGGTGTTAGCCACTCAACTGTAAAACGCTGTGCTTAACAGCTGACACTTCTGATGCCACGATATACCACATTATCAAGCTTCGAAGAGTTTTGCATTAGAGCACCTTATAAATCACAGGAAACATTTTAATGAGAGTATTTGACATTGAATCCCTTGGGAGATGAAAATGAGAGTATGACACTTAGCACACCAAGTGCTGCATACCACTGGGATTTACAAGTCCCAATGCTTGCTTGCTAGAAATCTCTAATGCTTTGAATACAGCATTAGAGGAGTGTGTGTGCATCCCCATCCACACAATATAAAAAAAACACAATTTCTCCTTGCAGTTAATGCATAAAACAGTGCAAGATAATGGTCCCAGCAAAAACATAAGTATAAAATGTTGAACCTTACACTGTGTTGCATCGCATTCCAAACAATCCTCTGGTTTGCAGCATAAAGGCAGGGAAACAGAAAGTCTTAATTAATTCAGCGTAGGTGGGAGAAATCACTGACGGACATATAACGCTTAAAAGCCAACTGCTGTATATAAGACATCAAAAATGCATCGAGAATGAATTAGATAAAGTGCAAAAAACATAATTAGGACTGAATAAAACAAATAGCTCATTTGTTGTTGTGGGATTTCAAGAGCCAGATGGCAAAAAAAAGGCTGCTTTTCAAATTATGTACCCATTAACTAAATAACCTATTATTAACCTCACACAGAGAACTAAGACATTTGATTTGGCAGGTTTTAAAAACTATGAGAAATGAGGCTGCCATTCACCAAAACAGACTGAATAATTTTCTCCTTTTCAAGGTTAAATATTACAAGCATAGCAGAAACATTTTGAAAAGATTCAATGCGAAAGGCCAGGTATAAGAGAGGAAGGGTAAAAGGAAGTAATGCTGCAGGAGTAATACACAAGCAGAGCTGTCTCTCAGCCAAATTGGACTGCCACCCCCATGTTAACCTTTAACCCGATGCAGCATTTTAGGTCTCAAGGTTCTTTGAGATGGAAATTCATGTATCAAGATCCTATTGAACAAACATACAGATTATCTGACAGAAAATAAAGGTGCGCCTTCAAGAAGGAATTGATATGGTCAGCCTCACAAAAATCTATCCATCTCCCTTCTTCCCCTTCTCTGTTTGCCAAGTGCACGGGGATGAGAAGGGCAGTGAATGCAGTACATCACACCTTCCCATGCCGTCTTTGGGTAAAGCTGTTGATTCGTTAACAAACACAAATCGATAGAAAGGTCTGAATGGAGGACAAGTACAAAGAATTAATTTCCGGCTCCGGGGGCTTACCATGGCAAATCACCAGCTTTAATCAACAGTGTCAAGTCAAAAAGATAAATGATGTTTACACTGAAGCAGTGTCTTGTCTGAAAACAGAAAGCATTGGCTTTTGTCTTCTTACCAGTCTGTCTAGGCTTGTGCCAGTTGCAGTGGTAGGCCTCTCCTCTGGGCTGTAGGGCCTGAAGCGGGCGTTGAACACATCCGAAACACCACGAGCAGACCTAGTGATTCCTGCGGGTTTTGGCTGACCACAGCCTTGAAAAACCTACAATTACAAGAACATGGGTACCCAACTGTCAACAGTTTAAATTACTTGGGATGCAGAAAATAGGTAAAATACACTGTTTGGATAAGGTCTTGTGAATGATTCACCCCTGACTACCGGTGTGACAGTGCTTTACGTCAAGTTGAGGCAACCATGTTGATAGGTGATCCGACTAGGAGCTGTGACCAGTGCTATTTAAGTTTGTTGAGTTAAATTTTTACAGGCTTCTGGTAAAACACCACATATACTTAAGTCATAAACAAAACGGCATCTGGTGCATGGGAAAGGCAACTGAGCATTTAGTTTTGAATTGGAACGGGCATCTAATTCAGTGTAGGCAGAAAAATATTCTTCCTCCTTTCTGTCTACAATTTTGTGGGCAAAGAAAAATGCAGTAAAACACAGGAAACACATTAACTACTGTTAGTTGAACTAAGATTATCTGACCAACTTGAAACATATAATTCAAATACAAGACCTAAATTTGGACTTAATTAGAACGTGTTGTAATCCACACCTTAGTCACAGCCCAGTATGACTTCCAGCAAAGCTTATTCCTCATTTTGTGACGAAGTTGGACTTCGTCAGCCTGTCTGAAGTGTTACTTTGGTTCTTAGAGAAATGTACCTAATTGACATACCCTGTAGGAGACCTGGGCACTGTTATCTTGCATAATCATGATGGCCTCTGAAATCTTGACATCAATAGGCTCCATGACAGATTCAATGTTGAAAGGTCCCTCTAGCCTCTGCGCCACCAGCAGCATGGCATCTGTTATATAAAAAAAAAAAGTGTGGTGTTGGAGGAAGAAGAGCAAAGGTGCAAACACACAGTTGGTAAAGTGCTCACAGACAAAAATAACTGTCAGTACAGCAACTATTAAAAAAAAAATGACTGCACTGCAAGGTCCATCTCAAATTACAAAGGCCTGTTTACATGCTTGGTAAACGTAGCAGTCCAATAATAGTAAAGAACACACTGCAAGAAAAATACTGTATGATTGACACAATGCCAGAAATTCATTGTGAAAACAGAAACCACAATCATCAAGTACAAAGAAAAGTCTCCACTCATGTCCCTGAATTCATTTACATTGCGGTGCTGCTCAATTCAGTGGTGTGCAATTGCAATGGGTCTTTATTTAGGTGCCAGCTATAACTGCTCACATTTTGTTTATGTGGGTTTGTGTTTCCAAACGCGGTGCATAGTTTTATCTAACTGGTAAATTAAAAAACGCTTTTGAATATTTTTCTCCTTATTTTGAAGCTGCTTTCAGTTGATTGTGTTTTGGGCTCTTTTGGTTTTCACAGAAGGTGAAAAACAACAGAAAAAGTAATAAAATGGTACTAATTGTACTAATGGTGCAATGCTATGCCTACCTCTGATTAATATTGAAGCAATTAATTGACTGGAAAAAATATGTCAACCTCCCTAGGAATTTTTAATTCATTATTTATGAAAACACACACGCACGCACGCACACACACACTCCCGTTCAGGTTTAAAAGTGCAGATATGTTTCCTCTCTTTGGCTTACATCTCTGCAGATGAGCACATAAACAAACATTACAATATTTGCTATATTGTCATGGAGCTTTTTACAAAAAGGACACAAACGGTTTACAATTTGCAAACTACTACATCTTCTTTTCTGATTGCTGCACAGTATTGTCATTTACCACCTTCCCATCTCAGACTGCAAGCACACTTACGGAGCATGAATGCTTCTTGAGGCAAATTCAATTTTTATGTAGATCAACTCAATCAAGTCTACAAAATGCTGTTAGGCTCCATGTAGTGAATAGTGCTGATGAGTAATTGATTTAATAGAACTTTTGAAAGCCAAGCACTTATTTACATACGCTGTGAAAAAGGTCAATGGCTCATTAATATTGTGTGGACACAAGCCAGAGGGCCTTGTTGAACATGATACACTTAACATATCATCTGCACTTGTTTTCATCGTTTTTAATGAACATATTTGTAAGCTTTTCAAAAGGATGTTGCAGTCACATGATCTAATATGTACAACTCTGTATGGTTCACATTGCACAGTACCTCAGACTAATTAGGCAAACTGCTGTTGCCCTTTAAAGGCTCACTGAGTAAACTGAAACACTGCTAATGTTGATTTATATCGATGTGCTAGAGTCTGTACGGTGGCAGCTCTGAGTTTGACTGCCGTGCCACAGGTAACTGGACATCACCAAACCACTCATTCATAGCTAAAGGCCCATTTCTGCAGACAGTACAGAACATGCATCTCCATCCACAAACCAGAAGGCTGGTTTGTGGATAAGTACTCCACAATTACTTTGTACCTAAATATAATAATCCTGTCATTTGGAGACTTCAGAAACAATGATGTCTCACTGTACATGCTCCATGACTCCCTTAACAGTTTATTTTATCTGTATCAAAATTCCAAAAGTAGCTTGTTGGTTTTTGAAGAATAAATTATGTATTTCTTTTGGCTTGCTACTCCAACCGCCCCACCCATCATAGGAAAATAAAAGAATGTATTCCCAAACTGTGAAGGAATAGATAACATTCCATGGGGAACAGACCAAAAATGGCGACTGAAAAGAAAACATTAAAAAAAATAATTGACCTCACACAAAAAGCCAGCTGCAGACATGAGAAAACATACTGTAGTGCAAATATTGTACATCCCCCCCCCGGACACACACAAAACAAACAAATGAAAAAAAGAATATCTAAATTACACTTTAGTGCTTTGATAGCAGACCTGTCCAGCTTTTCATTCTTCTGGGACCTTAGATCACTAATGGCAGGGGAAAAAAGCTGAGAAACATTAGCTCAGCTCTGCTTCCATTTCCTTTCCAATTATGTCAAAGTCAGAGTCTTTGAAGAGCCCCTCTGTTTGTTTACACTGTGAATTGCAAATGGCCTGTGATTCTTGCTGAGATCTTAATATACAGATTACATCAGTGCCAAATGGTTTTCTACAGCAGCACTTCAAGTGCACAACTGTGTAACCATATGGTCTAAGTGTAAAAAACCCCACCTGCAATGGCCAAAGAAAATTTTTTCTGCTGTTTGTCTATTAGCAGCCATGGCAATCATTTTTAGAAAAGTATTTTTTAACAGCGTACTGCAGTTTAGTTTGACTTTCTTTTTGTGTCCTTATATTCCTTAAAAAAAAATCTGAATGTAGCATTTCCATATTGTTTGTTATTTAATGTGATTATAATGCAAATTCATTCAACTGCCCCAGGTATGTCTGCTCACAAAAACAAACACAGGTAAAAGTATATCTAAATTCAAGCTTAAAAGCTCTCAGTTGCAAATACTGAAAATTTAGGTCAGCAGCGCCAACTGGGAGCAACTTGTATTTCATCACAGGAGAAAAGAAGAGTGCCTCCAGGATCAAAAACGATGGCAATCTTTCCCAGCAGTGGTGACTTATCTCCAACTTATCAGATGGGCTCAACAAACAGAGAGCTAGCCCGGGAACTTTGTCTTTATACACAGCTGAGGGAAAGCAGAGAGTGTCACGGGGGGAGGCAGGGAAAGAAGAAAGCCGGAGAATAAGATGTGGTTCTGGGTTGAGTGAGGCTAGGACTATAGCTGTGTCCTATAGAGAGATGGGCTCCTGCGCTACATGTGAAAAACTCTGCCTACATGGAGAATTAATGACTCTCATTTATGAGGAGTGCAGGAAGTCCAGTCCACTGTGGCACAGCTGCCACTCTGAGCCAAATTTTCCCTGCATCACTTTTGCGCCACTGAGATAGGCTACTGGCCAGCCAGAGGAAATCTTGTTATCAACACGACACAGCCATGCAAATAGACATATCTTGTCCTATTCTGAGCAGGGGTTTTTACAGCTGTGACTTACTGGATAGAGACACAGAAATCTAAAAGACACCATGCCTCGAAACCACAGCACGAGCCAATTATTTTTACTTCAAATTGGAGGTTAATATTTCAGTTTGTGATATGAAACATGCTTATTTGCCCCGCCTTACTCTTGCCTCTGCCTCTTTATCGAGATTGATGTCCACTTAAATTCAGGCTATGTCAGCCAGCAGCAACCTCCAGCAGACAAGGACAAATAAGGAAAGTGAACAAGCCCATCTATGGCTCTTTGCCTGTGAAGAGTTCCACAGGATGAAAAATGGCTCTAGTGTGATTTGGATTCTGTAAAGCATACCTCATCTGTGGTTCAGTCAACCAACTAATAGTGCTATGAAACAGTATAAAAATGGAAAGGAAGAAAAAAAAAAAGAGGCATATTGTCCCTTGGACACATAGTCGTGATCAAGAAAAGGAGTCCTTGAACATAGACATATGTGCACAGCCCAGGGTTTAATAGCCATAAAGAAAAAAAATGTATCAAGTATTATGATTTATTTTATTTTGTTTGTTTGTTTGCTTTTTATATCAAATGTTAAAAATGTCTTTAACGGGCTACTTAAAAAAAACAAAAACAAAAACTGACCCCTCTTTTCCCAAATGAGTAGTCTACTTTACCAACTTTTAGACGTTTTGGTTCATTAATCGTTTGATAAAGACTATAAAGGCACACAAGGCAATATTTAGAAAAGCTGGGGCCTAAATCTTAACCCTAAATAAAAAAATCTTTTACTAGAGATCATTTCCTCTGCTGCTAACATGAGGCAAAAACCCCCCCAAAAACAATCTTGTACACATCTAGTGCAAGATTAGATAAGACAGTCAAGATTAACAATATCCTGACTTTTTCCTTAGCGTCCTTAGGAGATTGACAAATCTATGCACACAATTTGGAGTAAAATGTAGAGGATGTAAAATTTCGATGCAGGAGACAGGCAGGATTCACGGAAAGGAAGCCTTTTTATGAGGCTGAGTGCAAAAAGTACACACAAAACAAAACAATATCCAAAAAAAGGCGACACAAAATTAAAACCACAAGTCACATGATGAAAGACAGGACAGAATTACAGTCACTGAGACAGAGACCAAAGGTAACGCAGTACTTTTTATGCCCGACAGGGTAATCAAGAATCGGAAGCAGGATGCTAACGAGACACAGCTGAAGACAATCAAGATGATGACACAAGTGGGGAGATGTAAGCGAGAAACAGTAACTAAAGCGGGAAACAGATACATGCATGAACTTCACATATTGAGATTGATACACGAGGAACAAAAAGCAAATGGTTTTGTACCCTTTTAATTGATTTTGTACAGTTTTTTCACTCCTCTAAGGATTTAGTTTAATGATTTATTGGTGTTTTTTATGCACTATAACTAAAAAAAAAGTGAAATTCTTTATCTGAACCTTAACCTTCAGCAGTACTTTGTTTGTTTATTTGGTGATTACAAAAATTTGCCTTTTAACCGCTATAGAAAAGCAGTTAGCAGGCAACACAGAGAACTGCCTTCTAATCCGCAGCATTTTTGCCATGTCATTGTGACATATGTTAGGATTTCAGTGTTAGCCCCAGTGGTCTTTTGATCTAAACGCTAACAGAGAGTCAGTCAAATAGCTCAGTCTTGTACAAAAACAAAGCCTGAATCATTTAGCATAATTCATGTTCAGTGATGATGGCAGCAATCTAAAACAGTAGGCAAGACATAAAATGCAAAACCCAAGAGCAACATTGACAATGTACTGCATGGCTAATCAAACTAAGAGACACAATCCGATAACGAGCTATTCACAATCAGATCGTGTTACTAATGGGGCTGGAGATATCATGAAATTTTGTGTATGGTTTGCTGACTGGACTGTTTCTAGTATTTTGCCCACAATTATGTTGAAG